GACAAAGAAAATAACCATTTTTTCCTAAATCCCATCAAAATCACTATAATATTTCGGTCCCCTGTTTCGAAATCCCAAATTGCTATGATCAGTTTCCCTCCGGTTATCATCTCCGAATTCATTACATCCTAAGAAGAAAAAATAAAATAAAATGGTGAGAGCTTTGGAGGACGAAAGAGAAATGTACAAATCGAGGCTGGATTATATCAGGGGAATGCACGGTGAAGGGGGAAGACAAAAATCGAGGAGCATGACCTTCGAAAGCGATGGCTCGACTGCTCAAACTGATGATGATAGGATGACAACATCAAGAAGCCATGGCTCTTTAATGCTACATGATCACGAGCAAATGGAACATCAGAAAACCGACAAGATAAAGTCTCGCCTGGCCAATAACGGGAGCTCGACAAGTCCTAATGGAAGACAAATTTCAGGCAAGGAAATTAAAAAGTTTATTTGTCCTGGAATTAAACCTTTTTTGCGGGTTTGTTTATATAGATTTTGCCGTGTGTTTGTATGTTTTCATTGATTTGTTTTAATACTTTTTGTTGTTCTTCATATGGGATGTGTTTTGGTGTTTTTTTATTAAAGAAAAACAAAAGGAAACACTTTCTGTGTAATTAAAACCAGAAAATGTGGTATTTTTCTGTGGAAATTCTGCTTTATTTTGATTGTTGTTTACCAGAAAATGTGGTATTTATCCAGGGAAAGAAACTGTTATTTGTCTTCAAAATGTATCTTCTAATAAATTTTAAATGTTCACTGTTTTTTTTTTTTCATCATCTTTCTACCAAGTGCACCTTCAAGATGAATGTGTCTGTCAGGTGAATGCAAGGCCCATGACAGTACAATTTGGAGCATTTTTACATTATGAAATAAATTAAAAGATAAATGTAGTATTTTAATTATTATTTACGTAATTTACACTAAATCTCACATTTTAGTTGTGCCTTGTGAATATAAATATATGGTGCATAATGTAGATATGGAGTTGATGAAAGAAAGATTTTCAAAGTTGCTCCTGGGTGAGGACATGTCCGGTGGAGGAAAAGGAGTTTCTTCAGCTTTGGCATTGTCAAATGCAATCACAAACTTGGCAGGTACATCTCACATTGTCAAAGTTTGGTATAATTACAAGAAATTCCTAATTTGGTTCTCTTTCTCTCCATTTTTTTAATTGAATTTCAGCTTCTGTATTTGGAGAACAAAAGAGGTTAGAGCCGATGGCAGCAGACACCAAAGCAAGGTGGAGAAAAGAGATTGATTGGCTCTTATCAGTCACAGATCACATTGTTGAATTTGTTCCCTCCAAACAAAGGTCCAAAGATGGAACCAACATGGAGGTCTCTCTCTCTCTCTCTCTCTCTCTGGGCTAAATTAATCTGCAATTCAATCAAATTACCTAACATCCACTCTAAATTAACATGAAATAATTCCTGACCAGATTATGGTGACAAGACAAAGAAACGATCTCCACATGAACATTCCCGCTCTAAGAAAACTCGACGCCATGCTCCTCGTAAGAACAACTCTGTATTATTTTCTCAATCATATTATTTTTTTTTTTTTCAAACTCAATAAATAATATACTTGTTTGCCCAAAATCTGTGGCCAATCAATAAAACAGGAGTGTCTGGACAACTTCAAGGACCAAAACGAATTCTACTACGTGTCCAAGGATGACGAGGACTCTTCTAAGAAGGGTAAAAACGTAAGATCAGACAACAAATGGTGGATCCCCACACCTAAAACTGCAGAACTCTTCATGATATACAACTACTTTTTGTTACATTGAACAGAATGGGAGAGCAAGTTTAGGGGACTCGATGTACAAGAGTATTACAGATGAGTACTTTGACCCGGACTACTTCCTGTCTACCGTGGACTTGTCCTCGGAGCATAAAATCCTAGACCTTAAGAACAAGATTGAGGCATCGGTTGTGATATGGAAGCGAAAAATGAACGCGAAAGACAACAAGTCGGCTTGGGGATCGGCCGTGAGCTTGGAGAAGAGAGAGATTTTCGAGGATAGGGCAGAGACGATTTTGCTCATTTTGAAGCATCGTTTTCCGGGACTACCTCAGTCTGATCTTGACATCAGCAAAATACAGTGCAACAGAGTAAGCTCGATTATAATAATCTCACACCTATGATTGTGCTAAGCTCCGTTTTTTTTTTTATTATTATTATTTTTGTCTTCAACCTATAGGATGTGGGGCATGCGATCTTGGAAAGCTACTCAAGAATCATAGAAAGCTTAGCATTCACGGTTTTATCAAGAATCGATGATGTCATGCAAGTCGACTCTCAAGCACAAAACCCGATGACAGCTGGCGAGCCAATGATGAAGTCTCCCATAAGAGAGGCCTCGCCCATAACCACACCCAAAGAAGAAAACAACTCGGCCGAGACTCCAACTTCGATGACGCTATTGGATTTCATGGGTTGGAACTTGGACAAGTCGGAAAACGAGACGAAAAAGGACTCCTCACATGAAGAAGCCGATAGAAAGGTTGTTAATAAACCGGCCTACATCAACACGAACAAGAGAGTATCCTACATAGAGAGGCTAGAGAACTTAGGAGGCACAAGAAGCCCCACAGCCCGCCACTAGGAATTTTCTTGGTGTATATAAAATATGAAAAAGAAAAATCTTAAGAGGGCTTTGTTTTTTCTTTTTTAACTATTAATCGGTAGGTTATATTTAAATTCAAACAAAGCAAGTTTAGATGGCCAAAGAAGTCATGTTTATGATTTTCCTCAGTCCTTGAGTGGATGAAAAGGGGATAGCTCGTTGTTTGTACCACATAGAAGGAAGATGTATTTTGAGTTATGTGCTCATGTGCTTAATTGTTCATGGGTGGAAATAATAACACTCTAATTAATTTAATGCTTTTACTGGTCATTCTTGGCTACAACGGCACCAGATCTACACAACTAAGATTTCTACATAGGCATAAACTTGACTCAAACAAATTCTCAATTGAGTCCAAAATATATTTTATATATAGTATATACCAACTTGAGATTACAATGGCTTTATGTTTTGAAATTACAAATGCCTAACACAGAAAGACGGTTGAGAAGTAGATGCATCGGTGGACTTAGAAAACATACAATAACCATCACCTTTTGCTCTGCTACACAAATTAAACGTGAATCCCACACCCACTAAGCACAAACATGATGACCCTTTAGGATAAATTTATCATTTTTAACAAGAATGAAATGAATTTGTATTATCACCTGCAGTTGCGGGTGCAGAGGGCGTACGGCGGCAAAGGTCGCACCATATTCCGTGTAGTTCTCTCTTCGTTGTACAGTTGAGCGTGTGTTGGATCTTGTTGGATAAGCTTATGCCTTGTGTAGATTTCATTCAAAATTGAAATCCGATCATTCTGTTTTTAATAAAGGCGCATCGGTTTTATTAGTAAAAAAACTAAAAGCGTGTAGCTATTCTTGGAAAGAGGAGAGAAATAAAACTTGTCGGCTCTTCACCTCTTTCAACGGGACTAGGGGTTTCACAGTTTCACAGAACGCAGAAGTAGAAAAATAGACTGCTCTCTTCATCTCCGCCCTTCATCTCCGACGAGCTGCTGCCGCGCCGGCGCCGCCGCATCTTCGAGCTCTTCCCCAGGTATGCCGCGCGCGCCGCTGACCTCTGTTACTGTTGGGGTTGTTCTTTTCATTTATAATTTATTGTTTATTATTTGTCTGTTTAGTTTTTCTAATGTCTAATACATAGTTTTTCTATTTAATTTTTCTGTTTTAGTTTTTCTGTTTAATTTTTCTATTTAGTTTTTCTGTTTAACTTATCTGTTTCTGTGTTTCAATTATTTAGTTTATCAATTTGATATGTGTAGACGAAGCCTCGCCCCTCACCTCGCCATTTAAAACTATGTTAATAGTTCTTTCAAGGACAAATCTCTTTAAGTTTTGAAACTTGTGTTGATTTTTTAGCAAATAAGTATTAATGTGATTTAGCTTGTGATCCATGGTGCTGCTCTTTATATTGATTATGGCAATCCCTTTTACTAATCTGTCTCTTTCAGTTCTGACTTGTTTTATGAAGATGTTGAGTTACCGATTGTTGCAGATTTACCCCTAATTTTGTTTAGGAAAAAATAAGGAATTGTTATGTTTTGGTACTGTTGAATTTGACAATGTAGCGATTGCATGATTTTTTGTTTATTTCAATGCAGTGACTTTTAGTGATTGCGCATTGTGTTGTGTTGACAATTTCATTATATTTTGTACGAAATTGAGTTGGAACGCATATTAATCGATCCGGTCTCTGTTAAATTAAAACAGCATAGACATTTTATTATTATATCTAGTATATTGTTTATTAAATATTGGAAAGATGCATAGTATTACCATCTAATAACTTCTACAAAATATTGAGCACTTGCGTCTCCTACTTCACTTCTCGTAGCAAGTTCTGAAAGAAAAAAAAAAAGATTCAGGAATTTTGATGAAAAGACTTGCATTTGTTTACTAGTATGGGTGTATGGAAAATTTTACATATTAACAGAAAACATTTTTTTTCCCTCAGGAATGTTAGAATCGGTACATGTAGAGGGTCAAAAGGAAAAGGAAGTCGAAGAAGATGAGGAATATGTACTGCTTGATTTAGAAGGCGTTTCTGACCAAATTCACATCCCACCAAACGCACCATACATACTCTCTGTATTATTTGAATCTCTCACTCGTTTGTACTGACAGTAGTGCACAATACCACTATATTTTTCACTTACGCTTGTTATTAGTCTTCCTTAGATATTATCTAATATAAAGAGCCTAAGTAAAACTCGTAAAGGACAACTAACCATCATCTTTTGAATGACAGATTACATTATTTTCTAGTCAGGTTGTAGTTTGGAGGCTACAACATATTGCATCTGACTTTTTGAAATACTTTACTTCTTGATACTATGAGATAATTGCTCTTATCTTATTTTTTTTCATCTTTCTGTTTGATGCTTTTTAGATCCTAATTGATGCTTTCAGAGCTCATTGATATTATAGATTTACACTGAATAATAAAAATGTCACCCATTAATCGGATTGATGGAAAAATTGATGCAGGGTTTGGATACGCTCAACCCACTTCTGATAATAGATAACAAAATTAAGCTGGTATGTTAAAGAATTGAATCTTAATTGTTATATCCACTTGATATAATTATTTTGATTATCTTTGGTAAAAACTGGTGAAGGCTGAAGGGTAACTATTTCGCACAACTATTGTCATATGTCAGTTCTCTCTGAGACCCAATCTGTTTAGGAACACTTGAGTCAGCTTTCGCTTGTATAATGGGTATCGTTATACATGGGAATTTTATGGATTCCATGAATAAGTATTGTAAAGTGCCTTGTCATTGCTTGGTGTTATAGATATTCTGGAGTTTATAGTTGACATTTCAATGCACTCTAGAGTAACAAAGGATTTCATTTTCTTCACTACATATTCTAGATATTCCTGATTTTCATAAAGTGAGGTTTACCTCATCATTTCTGAAGATATTAGATTCTGCATTTGAAGCGCATTTGACGTTTATTGGGTTAAAGTAAAAGGTGGTCTTGGTAAATTCACCTTTGGTAATACATCTTAATGGAATTAATGTCATATTTATTTAATTCATAGCTTCTGCTGAAGTTTCTCGTTTTGACGTCTCAGTTGAACTCATAATATTGTTTTTTTTTATTTCAGATTGGGAAATATGTGGAAACAATTGGGACCTGCTTTGTTTTCAATGAAAGTGGTTAGCATATTATTATTATTATTATTATTGTTATTTGTTGATCAATGTGTATTAATTTCAACAGCAGATTTGTTTTGTTGTGAAGCTCGACTTTGTTCTGAATAATTGCAGAAAACAAACATTATTGAAGCCAATTATTTTTGCTTTTGACTATTACTGGCGCTCATTTATACACGAGTTCTTTGGCAGATGATGTAAGTCCTGTTGTTCACAAAGAGGCAGGACCGTCTGAAGCCAATCCTTTATCGAGACGAAGCATAACTGACCCCAAACAAACCCCAATGAAGCAAGTTAATCCGATAGCAAGTCTACAAAAGATTCTTAAGTTCAGACTAATGTTGGATGCTGAAAATGATGATGGTAAAGGCAGTCAATCAGATAAGCCGCCTTGATATACTGCAAGATATGGTTAGCATGACTGTCCATCAGTTCATCACCCAGTATGTTATTTGCTTTATGTCCTGTTTTTTAGAGGATTTACTGTGATGGCTACACAAATTTCACAAACTCTGACGAATCATAGGAATTTTTATGGATATAAGATGTTTTAGAAGTTCTTTTCTCAAATATGGTTATATTATTTAATCTGTGCGTATTGTCCATCCTATAATTTGCTTCTTTATGATTAGGGTGAGTTGTAAAAACTCTAATTACAAGAACAAAGACATATATATATATTTCAAATTTGAAATATACCCTCTGCGAATGTCCCTTTGTACTAATTACAACATGATTGAGGGGATATTTGTGACCTTAATAAGAGGAAGTTATGTAATTAGGTTCAAAATATCAATAGTGGGTAGTATTTTTAATTATCATACATTCCTTTTCAAGTCAGACAGAAGAGTGAATTTCATGGCGCGATACACAATCTGAATCTCGTCAAGGATTTATGAAGAGAAAAAGAAAGGAGTCTCAGCAGTTTCATGATATCTTAACTCCAATGGCTGCAAATAATGTTACATAACAAATCTCATCAGTCGCAGTATTTTCTGAAGCAAACATCAAGTACAACTCGAAAAACATTACACAAATTACAAAAAGGGCTTCTTTTCTTTATATAATTACAAAAGAATCCATATCTTCTCACAAACCGGAGACAATCTCAACAAAACTCATTTTCACCCATTGTCTTCATCTCAAAGCAACCAATAACAACAATTCAATCATTGATAAGGTGATATAAGGTTGGTCAATGTTACCAGAATTACTGGCAATTACTAGTGACTAATTCTGTTGTTGCCAGGCTATCGGTTGGGCTCGAATGTTTAGCCCTCATGCTAACGGTTTCACTGTGTTTAGTAAAGGCTCTCTCAACGCCATCTTCTAGATGTCTCCGGACAGGTTTTGGTCTGTCATTGGATCCGAAAGGTGATGAGTAGTGAAGAAAACATCAATTGTCATTTCTTTGTGTTGTTCATCCAAACCTAAGAATCGAAATTAAGAAAACAAATATTATGTTCATTATATTAAACTTTAGTCCTATACAATCTAAGTATTTTTAAAATGCTTAATAGCATGTAATAATCCCTTCTATATATAGTTTCAGAATGCACTAAGCCTACGTGACAAACTCTCATGCTTCGAACTCATATTGGACATAAAACCATGCTTTGGAGTTACCAATTATTTTTTACCATTTATCTAGTTACCAATTATTTTTTTATTCCACCAAAATGGTTGTATTTTTGTTTCTCTCTTTAATTGACATTTTGAATTAACTAAATTTGTTCAAAATAATTATATTTTCTTTTTACAAAAATTTCCCCTAATATCAGGATCTTTCTCTAAATTGCAGTTTAATCATGATATTTTTATTTTTTTCTAATGTATCACAATCTTCAGTTTGTTGCAAACTATATTACAATCTTGATGTAGGGGAAGCGTACGAGTGGGAAAGATAAACGAGATACTTTCTCGATAAAACTCACAATCAATTCATATTTCATTGAAAAATCGACCATCTAAAACAATAGATAGGGAGTCCTTTAAATAAGACTCCTAAACCATATTCCTAACTTGTCCAACAAGACAAGATCTTTTATAATAATATTTAATTCCTTACTTATTCTCCAAGATACCTATAATAATAATAATAATAATAATAATAATAATAATAATAATAATAATAATCTACACCATTCTACCCCGGTTCGGAAGGCTTCGCCCTCGAAGCCGATGCGCACCCGTGGCCGGCGTGTGGTGTTGAACACGAATGTTGAAAGACACTATGATCTACCTTGGCGAGCAACAAAATCCTCGACTGTGCAAATGACACTTTTCCTCTCCTCCAATTGAGCTACCCGACCAACCCAAACAAATACTTCGGAACCACAATCCAATAAAATAACATTTTTTGTTTCCGAGAATCGATTTGGAAAGTGCACCATCGTCAACAATGGCAACCTCACACTTCCGTTCATGAAACTGCTGCAACATATAAAACCGCGTGTCTTCTTGAACGATTTTGATAACAGCAGTTTCAGCTTCATCCTTCAGCCCCGAAGGCTCCTTATCAAAGATCGGCGGACCGTCGTAAAGACCGTCCACTTCGCCAGTAAGACGCTCCTCCACCTCCTCGGGTCCTTCATCAAACACAGGCGGACCATCGTACAATAGCCCGTCAACTTGCTCTCCGACAAATTCGAAGATATCAACGCGAAACGGGTCCTCCCATTGACCATATTCGCGATCAAGTCCCCAATCGTATCGGGAACGATATCCGCCGGCGAAGGCAGCCTCCTCTCGCCTGCCTTTGTCGTAGCGTTGATCGTCGCCGTCCACGAAGACCGGCCCCCGTCGCCGCATGTCACGGCCGCCGTATGCAGCGAAGGGGTCAGCCTCGACGTGCGGGGTTAGAAAATCATCGCAGGGATTCACCTCCGAAACTGTCTCCTTGCCGTCTTCGTCGCCGGACGGTAGTTGTGGAGATCTCCGGCGTGGCGCCCCGCCTGGACCACGGCCTCCACTTCCTCCGCGAATTCCCCCGCGTACGCCCCGATTGCCGGCGTCACGGCACGTTTGCTTGTCCCGAACCATGGTACGGATAGTTAGACGTATGTCCCCGATCTCCGCGGATAGATCTGCAATCTCATGACCCATCATCTCGAGCTGGCGGTCAAACCACTCGGTCCGGCGACTCAGATTGTAGATGGCGGCGACGCGCCTGTCGTTTGCATCATCTTGTCGTCGCGACAGCATCGTGAATCGTGCTGACTTCTGATACCAACTGATGTAGGAAAGCGTACGAGTGGGACCATAAACGAAATACTCTCTCGATAAAACTCACAATCAATTCATATTTCATTCAAAAATCGACCATCTAAAACAAGACTCCTAAACCATATTCTTAACTTGTCCAACAAGACAAGATCTTTTATAATAATATTTAATTCCTTACTTATTCTCCAAGATACCTATATTAATAATAATAATAATAATAATAATCTACATCAAATCTTCAATTTGTTCATCAACCACATCAACTTTTTTAGGGTTGATTTTCAGAACTCATACCGATTTGTACCAAATTGAAGATTGCGATATTTTTTTTTTTTGAAATGGCAATTTAATTAATAAAACTGATAAAGAGTACAACTTAAATTTACCCAACGGTTTAACCCGACAACCCAAATCTGATCAAACCAGCTGAAAATTTATCCATCTCAATGATAGAAATCGCTCTTCACGTCTGATCTTCCACTTGCCAGCCCCGATTTGATCTCTTCAGTATCCATTCGTCATTAACGAACCTCATCAAGGTTTTTGCTTTTTGTATCAATTCTCAAATATCGCATTGCTGATTCTAAGCGGTTCTCTAAGCTTGCACCAAAGATCAAACAGTGCCGGATCTTCATTCTCCTCTTTATTGTTTGAAAAATTCAGCTCAATTAAGCGAACTGTTCCTTTGTAATCTGTGTGTTTCGGTTACATTTTGTCTGCTTTCTGTAGGTTGGATGATGTGAATGCGATATTCAGAGGTGTGGATCAATCAGCTTGATTGAGGATATGGCGTGGTTTAGTGGGAAAGTGTCTCTGGGAAACTTCCCGGATTTCTCAGAGGCAGTGAATAAGCTGAGTGAAAGTGTGAAGAACATTGAGAAGAACTTCGACACCGCTCTTGGGCTCGAGGAGAAATCCGATGGCAGTGGTAGCGGCAGTGAATGTACGAGTCTGCTGTCATCATGGTGTTTTTTTAATAGATTTCTGGTTTCTTTTTATCTGTATAGCATTTCGATTCTACTTAATTAATACTTTTCAGCTTTTAAGGATCTGCTGAAAATTTTGTGTGGTCCTGAAGTTTGGTGCTTTTAGGCCTTGAATCTGTAGGTGGCCTGGTGCACATTGAACACATAAATCTTTAAAATCTTCTCACCTAGTTAGATTTCACAGTACCTAAACTTTTTCTCAAGTAAAAAGTTATCAAACGTCCATGTATTAGTTGCAGCGTCGTAAAATTCTGAGAAATATTGCCCCGACCTAGAATCAGGGCAAGCGGGCAAGGGTACTAAAGTCTAGCCTAATTAAAAGAAAGAGTGTAAGAGTGTTTCAGGCAGCACTTAGGCACCCAACAGGCTAGACACTCAACTGCTGCCCTATAAACACATAGCATTTTATACAACCTGAATAGTTGCAGGCACTGAGCTCCAATCAGCTATATTTATCTTATAGTATTTCATTACAGCATCAGGAGGACTGTGGCCATCTACGGACAGGAAAGCACTGTTTGAACCCATTATTGGGTTAATGGGGCAGAAAGGTGGGGAGGATACCGTTGATTCACCAGAAAAGCCTACATTCTCAAAGCCAGAGTCTCCGGTCAAGGAAAAGCAAGTTGAGAATGAAAACTTAGCGCGTGAAGAAATTGATCAGGTTCTTCATGTGGAACAAGAAAATGAAGATTTAAAAATTGCAGAAGTAAAGAAAGAATCTGGAGAGGAAACAAAAGCATCCACTGGGGAGTCCAAAGAAAATGCTGGTGTAGAACATATTCAACCTGAGGTGGATTTGCCTTTAGTTCCTGCCAAATTTCCCGAACAAAAACATGAAGAGGTTGAGCAAACAGAATTCGCGGAAACAATTGCAGAGGAGAGGTCAAAGGAAATATTTCCTACGTCTTCTGAGTCGGTACAACCTGAATCTGCACACAATTTTCAGGAGAGATCAGATGAAGTTCCTCCTGCACATGTTGAGTCACTTCAACCAGAGTCAGCAAATCATATTGTTGAAAATGAGATTGCTGCTTCTGTGCCTTCAAAAGATGCTGAAACTAGTTTTTCAGAGAGTTCAAATGAAAAAAATGTTGAAAAAGAAGGCTGTAAAGATGTTTTTCCAGCTCAAGATCTGGATGCGCCACCTGAAGCCACAGAGGAAAACAAAGAAATGCCTGAATCAGAAGTTCCTGGAGAGACCAGAGACGCTGAAGATAATTATCAAGACAGGTTGCCTGTTTTACAGTACAAGGATGTGGAAGCTTCAAAAGAAGCTTTGGATATGGTTAGGACTCTGAATGATACCGTGTCTAAACCAATTGAGCTAACACAGAACCCAGACAAAAATCCTCATGCGAAAGAACACCGTCTAAGTACTGGAAGCAACATGCCTGATAGTGCAGACACAATGTCAGAAGTTGAGAAGTTGAAAAAGGAAATGAAAATGATGGAAACTGCATTGCAAGGAGCTGCTAGACAAGCTCAGGTATTTAAGTTAACATAGTAATGGTATGCGTCATGTCTCTGACCCTTCTACAAGATTCCCATAATGCTATAACGGTCATATGGCCTGCAAAGCAAAGCCAATGAAATTATTACAAAGCCAAAGGATTTTTTTTTTTTTTTTTAAATGCGGAATATGATTTTATCGATCAGTTGATAAGACATTAGTGTAGTTTGTTCTAAATCACAATGCAATGTAAAATGGTTAGACAAACTAATTGTGATTCATTGGAATGGTAAACACCACTTGTTAACAGCCACGCCAATTTTACAGCTTCCCCAAAATTAGGTTTGTTTTTGACTGTCCGTTGCTCTCGGTGAACGGACTTTAGTGCTACAATAGTAGGAAGCTGGAACATTTATTTGTTTCTTCAATAATTATTACATTTTGTAGAGGATCTACTGTAATCTGTAATTGTTTTTTCTATTTTGTCAATTTTATGCAAATGGGAGCCTACTTTTATGTTATCATCAAAGATAGGAAATGCAAACTTGATTGTTATTTATTATTCACTTTCAGGCCAAGGCTGATGAAATTGCCAAGTTGATGAATGAAAACGAGCAGCTAAAATCTGTAACTGATGATCTGAGAGTAAGTGAACATTAATAAATTTAAATGTTTCTTAGAATTTTGTTTGACATGTTCTTTTCATGTACAACTCTTTGGTTTAGCACAATAATGATCTGATTATTTTTATGGTGCATAAGATTCTATGATTTTCCAAGCTTGAGTAAGTTGACGATATATTGCTTATAGTGAATAGGATGTAACTCCAGGGGTACTCTTGTGTCAATCCTAACTCTTCACATGCCTTGAGGATTCTTCACAGTTTTCCGACCCTTCGCGGGGCTATATTAGGCCATGCATATAAATTGGGCTGATTAGTCTCATATGTACACGCATCTTGATGTTATTATACATGTTGATAATCAAATGCCTTCAGATTTATGCTAGAATGTGTGTCCAGTTGTATATACAAATTGCTAAGAGGGTGATTGTTTATGGATTCAACTAGTTTTTATTTGGTTTGTTTTTTAACTATAGTTAATTTTGAAAAAAAGTGGTATGGTTAGTTGTTAGTGGATATACTAAAATAATATTTAAATAAAATAATTAAAATTGATCTGATGTAAAGTAGGAGAAAAATGATTGGAAGTGATGGTTAGTTAAAATTATGTGAGTGGATGAATAGTGAATTAAAGTTGATGTGATGTGTAAGAATGATTGGTTGATATTATTTAATTATATTGATAATATTGAGGATAGTGGGGTTGACTTAAAGTTGAGTTAAATTTGAGCTTTGATTGGTTTTTTTTGAATTGAATTGGTAAACAATCGCCCCTAACTGATCGACGTGACTTCCAGAGGAAAACAAATGAAGCTGAAGTTGAATCTCTACGGGAGGAGTATCATCAGAGAGTGGCAGCACTTGAAAGAAAGGTACAATTATTTAGGTGCTAGCTCTTGCGTGATTCCTTTCTCGATGGATATAAGTTTCTTTGCATCAGTTTGCATCCTTTCTCGATGATGCATTTTTTTTTTCTCTGGATATATTGATGGCTCATTTATTTATCGCGCTAAAGCTTTATTTTATTTCCATCTTATTTTTGTTGTTGTAAATTGTGATTGAGTTAACTTTTTGACTGGCATTTCTTTAGGTTTATGCTCTTACTAGGGAAAGAGATACACTGCGTAGAGAACAAAATAAAAAAAGTGACGCTGCAGCTCTTCTGAAGGAAAAGGATGAGATAATCACTCAAGTGATGGCTGAAGGTGTGCAAATCTTATATGCAGAGCCTCTGATGCATTTTGTTCAATTAGTGCTTTTAAGTTTTAACTGCCTTGGAAATGTTCTCTTGTTGAAGCTTGATAAGCTACCCTTGTATGCACAGCGTGAATAAAATATTACTTAGGACAAATGTTTTGTCAGGAGAAATGAAACCATGAATTATATAAGAGAGGACGGAATTTAATGACTTGCCCGTTGGATTGTAAGGCATTTGTGACAACTGGTGGAATAGATAGATTATGTTTGTTGGAGATGAATACTTCTCAGGTATCTATTTTACTTTATGGGTAGAAAAATCAACCCAACTTTTAATTGAGTTTGAACCCCCAAGAAATCGCAAGGTTGGACTCATTGGAATTCGGACACATTAACTGAGTTCTCTGCTTGATGAATGGCTCTTACCCATTAGAACAATAATTGATTCTCCTGCCATTCAATGATAGATATCTTTTAAATACGAGTAAATATTAAAGTGAGTAATTGTTTTTTCATCAATGTTTGAGATGGTGATCTAATTTATGCACATTAAATAATTAGTAACTTTACGTTATGGTTGGTATTGAAGTTAATTTCTTACCATCTGCAGGTGAAGAGCTCTCAAAAAAGCAAGCTGCTCAGGAATCTCAAATTAGAAAGCTCAGGGCACAGGTATGTTTACCTTCGATCATTTACCCATCTTCGAGATCGCATTTATCTGCTAAATTTAAACATGGATCAGAAATATAATATATTTAATCTTCCCTTTTCCTGAAACCTAGATAAGGGAACTTGAGGAAGAGAAGAAAGGATTGTTAACAAAGCTACAGGTTGGTTTCTTCAATACTTTGGTTATTCAAGCGGGTGTGTTGACTTGATCATAGTATATCAATTTCTAGTGTTAACTTGGTCAATATTAATTTCTAGTGTTCTCTCTCTCTCTGCTTCTTGTCTTATTAGTTGCACATTCTATTTTTATTCAACTCTTTCCATGTTTTTTCAAGTTAAAGGGGATTTCGATAATCATTTCCAGGTTGAAGAGAATAAAGTAGAAAGCATAAGAAGAGACAAGTCAGCAACTGAGAAGTTGCTCCAAGAAACTGTAGAAAAACACCAAACTGAACTTGCCACTCAAAAAGAATACTACACAAATGCTCTGAATGCTGCAAAAGAGGCTGAAGCATTAGCTGAGACACGTGCAAACACCGAAGCGAGAACTGAACTTGAAAGTCGACTAAGAGAGGCCGAAGAGAGGGAAAGTATGCTAGTTCAAACACTTGAAGAACTAAGGCAAACTCTAAGCAGAAAGGAGCAGCAGGTTAATTTTAGAAAAAAATTGAGTCTCCATATTTATTCATACAAAATCTACTATAGTTGTCTTCACTCTTGGTGCAGGCAATTTTTAGAGAAGATATGCTTCGCAAGGACATCGAAGATCTTCAAAGGCGATATCAAGTTTGTTTCTCGTTTCTAATACAACCTCTTCATTTTATTTACTTCTGAAAACATGTTTGAAACTCTGTTATCTGATGTACAACTACATGTCCCTAGGCAAGTGAACGTAGGTGTGAGGAGTTAATAACGCAAGTTCCTGACTCTACCAGACCTCTTTTAAGGCAGATTGAAGCAATGCAGGTTTTACTGCGTGATTGGTTACTGAGATGATATAGTTGGCCAGTCTTGTTTTAACCTTTCTTTCCTTCTAACTATCAATGTCAGGAAACAGCCTCCAGACGGGCTGAAGCTTGGGCTGCTGTTGAAAGATCTCTAAGCTCCCGTCTTCAGGTTTCTTGATGTGCATTATTTCCTCTTATTAACTTACTTCATTGGCATCTTAATGTAATTAATTTAATATGCAGGAAGCAGAGGCCAAAGCTGCAACTGCCGAGGAAAAGGAGCGTTCAATTAATGAGCGTTTAGCTCAAACTCTGTCTCGAATAAATGTTCTTGAAGCTCAGGTTTTCTTCATTAATACATGGTTCTTAAGTTAATGAGGTGACGGTACTCTGATTAGTAGCTTAAAATGCTAGGTATATATATATGCAGATTTCATGCCTTAGAACTGAGCAGACTCAGTTAACGAGGTCCCTTGAAAAGGAGAGACAGAGGGCAGCAGAACATAGACAGGAATATCTTGCTTTAAAGGAAGAAGCTGACACTCATGAAGGTCGTGTGTGTCAGCTTGAAGAAGAAATTCGGGAAGTTAGGAGAAAACACAAGGATGAGTTGCATGAAGCTATGATGCATCAAGAGCTACTTCAACAGGTATTATGTAAATTATTATGTGCTTTTAGATTTGCGCCAGATGCACTTGCTTAATATATCTTTTAGTCAGTGATTCTATCTAATTAAGTCACGTTATACTTTGATTTCAGTTAAAAAATGTATCGATGCCTTTTGGTGCACAGTGCTCTTGGTGTCGAATATTTCTTTAATCATTCATTATTATTTTCTTTTCATTTTTGGTAAAGCATGCACATGGAGTCCTGGGCTTTGATGTACTGAGGTTTTTCCTTTGAAATTCTGCCATGAATGTTGCTTGTCTCGCTAATTTTATTTTCACATGGACCTTTGCAAGTTGCAACTATTAATGTCACTCTATGTTGGCCACTGGAAACTTACTGTATCATAATTGTTTCTTTATGTCTTTATCCGTTTTTCTTCATTGTTCATATATTTCCCTTTCTACTCGTGCCCTTTCCATGCAAGTACATAATTGATTAATTCTTTAGAAAAAATATTCGACTTGCTGCGACAAGCCAATAAAATCATTGAGACTGTTGGTTACACCCACACGAACAATTTGTTGACAGTCAAAGTGAAAACAGAACACATGTATGATTGTGATTATGATTATGATTATTCATCTCTCTTTTAACTATAACTCATATAAGCTTTAGCTTATATGTTTCCTCTTCTTTGTAACGTAATGCTGATACTAGTATAAAATATTTTCATGTTGGGGCTGCATGGCTATTTCCGAGTAACTATTACTTCATCTTATTCTACTACCCTACCTCACTAAGTAAAACCGTCCTGTGTTAACAGGAAATCGATCGGGAAAAAGCTGCTCGTTTGGATCAGGAAAAGGTTTCCAGCCTCCCGCCTCTTAATATACCTGATCAAAGCTTCATAGCTAGGCAAAAGTCCTCTGCTTTTGAAAATGGTAAATTCACATCAACTATATGCCACAACTAGTGATAATAATTATAGTTAAATCTGCTTTTGTCATTTTTTTGACTATACACCTCAACAGGTAGCTTGTCCCGTAAGATCTCGAGTGCAAGCAGCTTGAGCAGTATGGAAGAAAGCTATTTTCTGCAAACCACGTTGGGCTCATCCGAGAATTTTTCCGAACGTAGATCCATGGCTGAGGGTCCCGTGAGCCCATACTATATGAAGAGCATGACGACAAACACTTACGAAGCTGCCCTTCGTCAAAAGGAAGGAGAGCTTGCGTCATACACATCTAGACTGGTCGGATTCATTGAACTGCCTTTGTTGTTATATTCCGAGTAATTCATAGGGCCAGTCTTAATTATTTGTACGTAACCATTAGTTCTTTGTACTCTTCTACTCAAGAATCTTTGGTTTTAACTGTAGGCTTCTATGGAATCGATTCGGGATTCTCTTGCGGAGGAGTTGGTTAAGATGACGGCAGAGGTGAGAGTCGATAGCTCTTTCTCATTTTCATGTTTGCTTAATTATACCTAAGTTTTTGAGGTCAATAAGTTGTTTGCTCTTCAGTGCGAAAAGCTACGGGCAGAAGCTTCTATGCTACCTGGAATACGAGCAGAATTAGAGGCACTCAGGCGGAGGCACTCTGCTGCCTTGGAGTTAATGGGTGAACGTGATGAGGAGGTATATTTTTTCTTTTTTCTTTATTGCGCCAGCGAAGTTGATTAGTTATTATTATTGGAGTTTGATTAAGAATTTTTAAGAAAATGTGAAAACTAAGACAATGAAAAAATGGGTTTGTTGGAATAAAGAAGCTCGTACATTGTTAACCAGGACAAGAATCGATTACTGTATGCACCAAACTATGGAATTATGTTTAATATATCACTAGTTGCCAGAACATTTAACTGTATGGCACTAAATTTAAATGGCTGAAGCAACTTAAGAATTGGGAGACCAGAAGTTCATGGCTCGATAATCATAGAAATTTATTCACATTCTCCTGGTGAGATGCATGCATATTACGTTAATGTCACCATTTAAGACTATTATAATACAATTAGCTTAGAAGCGAAATTCTGTCAAAGCGTTCAATAATTTACTTGCACCACTTTCTTTTTGAGTTCCTAATGGTGCGATGCGATTGGATACAATTTTTTCCATTTTTGCTTCGTCGAATAATTTTTTTCTCCATTACTCACACTTACATATTTTTCAAGTACCAATCATTACTTTAATGTTTTTATGTTCCATCAACTTTAATCGTGATATTTTTATTTTATATTTATTCAGAACCTAAAAATTATTTTATTCTTCCACTTTTTTCATCACTCTCCGGCCAGACAAAATTGTCCAAAACTTTCCATGAATTTTAAAATAACTCGATTGGGCATCCAAAATAGCACAGTATCTGTTGTTTGTTTCTAAGATACGGAAGCTGATATCTTTTGTGTAGTTGGAAGAACTTCGTGCGGATATAGTTGATCTGAAGGAGATGTACAGAGAGCAAGTAAACTTACTTGTCAATAAGGTGAGCTGAATTTAAGTTTGAACTTTTAAGCTTACATCTTTTGTGTAGCGATGTTTTCATTAATTCAAGTTTTCTCCATATACTTGCAGATTCAAATACTGAGTTCGTCTATTGGCGCTGCTTGATAGACTATCGATCACTGGACCATACTTCTTCTTATTTTCACGATACAGTAATATGTTGTGGCATTGAACAGTGCATTTGCTAACAAATGGATTTGTTTTGTTTGTTTTTTATTTTTAGTTTTTAATGCATTGTAATTATGTATAGCATGACAATTTCTGTGTGTTGTAGCTTTGGAGATAGAGCATTAATCATTGATTTTTCTTTCCTGATATCAATTATATATATGACCGATTCCGTATCTGTTGGCTATGGCTTGTTGTTCTCCTTTTATATTCTCAGTCTTAGACGTGTTTCACTTGAAGACGCGTGTTTCTTTTATTTGTTGTTTTCCGTTTTGCTATCAACTACGCCACGCGTTCAGCTAGGATTAATCTCCAAACAGCCTGTTGGAGATATTTTCTTTTTTGGTCGTTTTCTCTTGTATAAAATCCAGAATGCAACTTTATGTTTGCTAATTGAATTCCAATTTGCTGTGGTTGAGATCTCAGATATTTTATCTTTTTTCGCCATTTTCATGGTATCAGAGTTAGGTTAGATTTGCTCACAGATGGCGAATCCCTGGCATAACAATTCGAACTGGCCGCTGCTGAATGTCGGAGATGGCAAATCGGCGACGTCGAGGTCCGCCGCAAACCTCAAAGATCCGATTCATCTTCAAACTCCGACAATCCAGGCATGATTTTAGTATCGCACCAACTCACTGGACAAAATTATCTTCCATGTTAACGGTAAAATTCCTAAACTCGATGAGACTGATGAAAGCTATGAGTTGTGGAAGAAAACCGATTATATGATCATTTCATGGATTCTGAATACACTATCAAAAGATATAGTTGAAAGCTTTGTGTATGCTAATAATGCTAAGGAACTTTGGGATAGCATAGCAAATAGATATGGGCAAAGTAATGGTCCACTGTTGTATAAGCTGCAGCGAGAGATCACTAGCATTACTCAAGGAAATGACACTGTTGTTGAGTATTTTTCTCAGATTAAAAGGCTTTGGGATCAGTTTGATAACTTGAAGAGTCCTACTATCTGTAGCTGTCCATTTGGAAAGAATGTAATTGAGATCGAGAATCAAACAAAATTGCTACAGTTTCTTATGGGACTTCATGATGTGTATGAGCCAGTAAGATCACAAGTACTGTTGATGGAGCCACTACCTGAGGTTGATAAAACTTATTCCATGCTGGTAAGGGTAGAGCAACAGAAAAATACTAGCATGATGTATAATAACCAGTTTGAGAGCTCAGCCATGGTTAGAAACACATTTGGAAGAGGAAATATGGGAAGAGGAGGAAATTATGCTGGAAACAAAGCGCAAGGTAGAGGCAGAGGCCGTTGGAGAACTAAGGAAGAAAAGGCTAAGTTGGTATGTGAGTATTGTCATGGACATGGTCATGATATGGGAGAATGTTTTAAATTGCATGGGGTACCTGATTGGTATCACAAGTTCAAGGAGCAACAAAAACCAAAAGGCTTTGCCAATGCTGCAGTTGAGAAAATTGACGCACAATCTTCTACTTCCAAGAGCAGTTCACAAACCTCAGGAGCAGCTTGTGATCTATCTTCACTCATTCAGCAGGAATTGTTAAAATTTTTCAACTCAAAGGGATCAAATGAGGTGACTGAGCCTGATTATGTTCATTTTGTCAGCTCAGCAGGTATCAACTCAGATCATCATGCATTAAGTACATTTGAAGGCATAGATAGTAGTTCTTGGGTGTTGGACACTGGTGCAAGTAGGCATATGTGCATTAACTTAGCTATTATGCATGATCTGAAACCTATACTGCCGTCCATTCATGTGCACTTACCTAATGGTACATCCTTTAAACTAACACATGGAGGCTAAGTGAAATTATCATCCACTATCATACTCCATGATGTGCTCTACATTCCTGATTTTAAATACAACCTCCTCTCCATTCCACAGCTCAATCTTCAGTGTAACATGCAATGCATATTTACACCACAACTTTGCTTGTTACAGGACCTTGAGACACATGAGAATCTTGTTGTGGGAAAATTGGTGGGAAAGCTTTACCTTCTTCAGATACATGTTAACCAAAGCCTGTATACTTCAAACACTGTTTGTTCTTCAGCACTAGATGCTAATTCCTTGTATTTTTGGCACCAAGTTTTGGGTCATGCTTCTCTTGGTGTACTAGAATATTTACATTTCTTGAAGGCACATTGTTCTCAATCTGATGTTAATCTCATAAAAAATTGTGATTCTTGTTTTAAAGGGAAATATCATAGAACACATTTCCCTGTTTCTAGTATCAAATCCACTTCTAATTTTGAACTTTTACACCTTGATATATGGGACCTTGTAAGGAACCAGCAATTACAAACACTCTTTTTTTTTTCTCACCATTGTGGATGATCATAGTAGAGGGGCTTAGGTATATTTGTTGAAACACAAGAGTGAAGTTCCAGCTATTATCAAGCAATTTATCCATACGATCATGATACAATTTAATGCCAAGGTTAAAAGATTAAGAACAGATAATGGTCTGGAATTCTTAAGTCTAACCTGTCAAACCTTTTTCCATACACTGGGGATTATACATCAAACCACTTGTACTCACACACCCCAGCAAAATGGGGTTGTGGAGAGAAAACATAGACACCTCCTTGACATAGCAAGATGTCTCATGTCTCATTCTAGCCTTCCTATCGATTTCTGGCCATATTCTATTTTGTATGCTGCACACATTATAAATCGACTACCAACCTCAATCCTAAAATGGAAAACTCCTTATGTACTGTTGCATAACACCTCACCTGATTACTCTCTTCTTAAGCCTTTTGGTTGTCTATCATATGCAGCAAATATTTCCCCACATAAAACAAAATTCACTTCAAGAGCACTTAAGTGTATCTTCTTGGGTTTCACCTTGGGAAAAAAGGCTTATCATTTGTATGACTTATCCACACAGAACTTCCTACACTCCAGAGATGTCACTTTCTTGCCACATGTTTTCCCTTACTCTCAAAACACCACTCAACTCTCATTAGACAATGTTCCTTTACCTTTTCCTTTTGCAGAAACTTGCACTACACCTATTACTCCTACTACTGAGACATCATTACCTGAGCCTGCCTCTACTATAAACCCTGCTCCAATCAAAAGAGTTAGAAAACAACCATCCTGGTTGAGTGACTATGAAGTTTACTCTATACATGATACTACACCTATTACACCAGATCCCCTCATAAAGCATGTTAGCTTTAGTTCAGCATTTCATGACTATTTGCACCAAGTGTCTAGCATTGATGAACCAACTACTTATGTTGAGGCTTGTAAACACGATCACTGGATTGAGGCAATAAATACTGAGCTAGCAGCTTTGGAAAATAACCACACTTGGGAATTAACTACACTGCCTAAGGGGAATAAAGCTATAGGAAGTAACTGGGTTTTTAAGGTTAAACTTAAGATGGATGGTTCTGTGGAAAGGTTTAAGGCTAGATTGGTTGCCAAGGGGTTCAACCAAGTATTTGGCATTGACTGCACTGATAGTTTCTCCCCAGTTGCAAAAATGGTTACAGTGAGATTTTTTATAGCTTTGTGACTGCAAAACAGTGGCCTTTGGTTCATTTTGATGGAATAATGCTTTCCTCCATGGCCATCTCCACGAGGAAGTTTATATGAGGCCACCTGATGGTTACACAAAGGCTGCTCCTGGACAAGTTTGTAGGCTCAAGAGAAGCCTCTATGGTCTTAAACAAGCATCTACAGAGTGGAATCAAGAATTCACCTCTAAGTTGTTGTCTTATGGATTTAAACAATCTTCTTATGATCATTGTCTGTTTGTTCACAACACTGATTCTTGTTACTTGGCTCTTCTAGTATATGTGGATGACTTATTGGTTACAGGCAGTTCAATGGAGGCTATTACAACGCTTAAGTCTTATATGCATAACCTTTTTACTATCAAGGATCTTGGCAGTGCTAGATATTTTTTGGGGATGGAAATCAATAGGGGAAATGATGGCACTTTTCTCAGTCAACAGAAGTATATTAAGGACTTGTTAATTGGCACACAAATGGAGTCTTCCAAATTAGTTTCTACTCCTTTACCCTCAGGTTTGGTTCTTACTGAGCATCAAGGTGCACCTTTTGAGGATCCTGAAAGGTACAGGAGATTGATTGCCGTTTGCTTTATTTGAATCTCACCAGGCCAGATCTTACTTATTCAGTTCAACAGTTAAGTCAATTTGTGACTAACCCTCATACTGATCATTGGAAAGCAGCTCTCCATGTACTAAAATATCTTCAAGGTACTTCTCACCTTGTGCTTTTTTATCCCTCTACTTCTTCCTTCACTCTACGAGCCTATGGGGATGCTGATTGGGCCACTTGTAAAGATACAAGGAGGTCGGTTACTGGCTACTGTATTTTTCTTGGCTCGGCTTTGATTTCATGGAAAAGTAAAAAACAATGCACAGTCTCTAAGTCCACTGCGGAAGCTGAATATCGATCATTAAGCACCACTGTTCAGGAGCTGCAATGGTTGTCCTATATTGGTTCTGAGTTCAATATTGCCATTCCTTTGCCTATTCCTCTCTATTGTGATAATCAGGTGGCTATTCACATCTCGGCTAATCCCGTATTCCATGAACAAACCAAGCACCTCGACATCGATTGCCATATTGTTCGGGATAAATGCAAGGATGGTTTTATCAAGCTTCAACATGTTACCTCTACTTTTCAGCTCGCTGATTTCTTTACTAAACTGCTGCATGGCCCTCGTTTTCACTGGCTAGTGAACAAGCTCGGCTTGGTCTCTTTGTCCCCAAGTCCGGCTTGAGGACGGGGTGTTGGCTATGGCTTGTTGTTCTCCTTTTATATTCTCAGTCTTAGTCGTGTTTCACTTGAAGACGCGTGTTTCTTTTATTTGTTGTTTTCCGTTTTGTTATCAACTACGCCACGTGTTCGACTAGGATTAATCTCCAAACAGCCTGTTGGGGATATTTTCTTTTTTGGTCGTTTTCTCTTGTATAAAATCCAGAACGCAGCTTTATGTTTGCTAATTGAATTCCAATTTGTTGTGGTTGAGATCTCAGATATTTTATCTTTTTTCGCCATTTTCAGTATCATTCATTGCATGATGACACATCTACCAACGTTATCCCGATATTTGATTGTTCGAATTACCAATGGGATGTTGAAATTAATGGCCACTGTGGAAGTTGCTGAAATCAAAGAAGCCCTATTCAATATCAACCAAAGCAAAGTTCCCGGGATTGGTTGTATGACATCTGTTTTTTTTTTTCTCCTCAAAATTTCTGGTCAATTGTGAGTCCTGATTTGTGTAGCTCCATTTTTAGATTTTTTAGTCGAGGCAAATGCTTAGAAGTCTAAATCATTCTCTTGTCATTTATTCCTAAAATTCATAATTCTGAGCTTGTTTCTCATTTCAGGCCAATAAGTCTTTGTGATGTCTTCTCTAAAATAATTACCAAAAATTTAACTAAAATGCTTAAGAAGTGTCTCCATTTGTGCATCGGTAATACTCAGGCTGCTTTTGTTCCTTATCGTCAGATTCTTGATAATGTCATAATTTCCCAAGAAGTAATGCACTATTTGAATAGACATAGAAGTGGTAGAAACTATCTCATGCCCTCAAGTTAGACATGTCAAAAGCTTTTAATAGGGTTGAATAGAATAGTGTTAGGCAACTCACGATTAAACTTGGTTTTAAACTTTCTTTTGTCAAACTGATAATAGTTTGTGTCTGCCTTATTCTCCTTCGATATAATGGCATTTCTTGTGGGTATTTCTCCCCTTCAAGGGAAATCAGATAGGGGGACCTACTGTCCCCCTACATTTTCATATTGATTTATGAAATTTTTTCCTTCCTCATCTCTTCAAAAATTAGGAAAAAATAAATCTCATCGAGATTAAAATTTGTAAAAAAGGCCTTTTACTTTCCCTTCTTTTGTTCGCGGATGATATTTTAATTTTTTCTAAATCTTCTTCTGATCAATGGTCATGTTGAGAATTCTTCAGCGGGAAATTTTTTTTTAACCTCCCAAAGTATGTCATTTTTTTGAGTTTATCATAAAAACTTTTTTTTTGACAATTTGCCTCCCAATGTAATTGAAACTGACAACTTGCCTCCTCGATTAAAAACCCTAATATGGCACAAAATAGTTTTTAACTCAATTAATGATAAATTTTTTATTAATCTTTAAAATTAATTTAGGGCTTTTAAAGCCCATGACGAGACGAACAAAATAAGGTATGATTTGTTGAATTCTGAAAATTGATACTCTATAATCGATCCACGAAGATAGTAGGAGCACGTGTGTATAGAAAAAATTTCAATTCAAGTTTTTTGATAATCAAGATATCCGATTTTCGATTGGGAGGTGTCATTTGAAAGTTAGTAGGACAAATTTTATAACGCGTAAATCTTATGAAAATCCAATGGTCGGATTTTGATAAATAGAAAACTACTGATCAATAGTTAGTATTTTTTTTAGGCTACTGACCCAAATCCGACTGTTGGATTTTCATAAGATTTACTTCAATAGAAAACTCGTCCTGTAAGCTTTCAAATGACACCTCCCAAATCGAAAATCGGATATCTTGATTATCAAAAACTTGAATTGAAATTATTTCTATAACATACGTACTCATGTTATCTTTGTGGATCGATTTTAGAGGTATCAATTTTCATAAATCGACAAACCATATCTCATTTTGTTCATCTCGCCATGGGCTTTAAAAGCCCTAAATCAATTTTAAAGATTAATTTAAAATTTATCATTAATTGAGTTAAAAACTCTTTTGTGTCATATTAGGGTTTTTAATTGACGAGGCAAGTTGTCAATTTCGATTACATTGAGAGGCACATTGTCAAAAAAAAAAAAGGTTTTTACGACAAATTCAAAAAGATAGCATACTTTGGGACAAATTCAAAAAGATAGCATACTTTGGGAGGTTAAAAAAAATTTTCCATTCTTGAGCAATATCACAAATATCACACTGTGACAGGACAAAAAGTGAACTTTCAAAAGTCTACCGTTTTTTTTTTTTTAGCAAAAATACCCTGCCTCTGTTCAACAAGAAATTTGGCAAATTCTTCTAGGAATTCCCCTCATTCATCCACCATATATCTGGGTTTATCCTTTGGGATTTCAAATTCTAAAATTGAAACATTTGCCTTTGTCGAAAAATCTATTTAGAAAAGACTTGTCAATTGAAAAAGCAGCTCTCTCTCAAATGCAGGTAAAAAAGTCTGGGTTAAAGCTATTCTTGGAGCCCTTCCGGTATACTCTATGTCTTGTTTTCTGATGCCAAAAGCAGTAACTAAGAAATTATCTCAGCACTGCTAATTTGGTGGAATTTTTCAAATTCTGACAAAAAGAACATTCATTGGAGTTCTTAGAACAAGCTTACACTTCCAAAGCTCAAAGGAGGACTTGGTTTCAAAGATTTCCACTTGATGAATAAAGCTCTAATTGCCAGACAGATATGGAGGCTGCTCAAGAATCCAAACTCTGTTGTCAGCAAGGTGCTCAAAGCTAGGTATTTCATAAATGAAAGCTTCTTCAAAACAAGGAAAAATTCTGGTATCTCTTGGATGTGGAATTCTTGGCTCTCCATCAAAGACTCCTTTCCTCGAAATCTCATATATATTATAAAAAATAGAAGAAAATCTCAGATATATTATAAAAAATAGAAGGAATATTAGCACTTGGGATCAACCTTGGATGATGGATCCCTAATGTCCAAACCTGCCTTGAATCAGCAACTGAGAAATGATCTAACATGGGTTAAAGAGATTATAGATGAATATGGCAGGAATTGGAAGAAAGACTTAATTCTCAAGAGCTTCTCCAAGACTGAATGCGCAGAAATACTAAAATTGGAGGAAGAATGGAGGTTTTTCTGTTGGAGATGCTTACAATTATCTGATGGAGGAAAAGTGGGTTTTGATGGGTTTGTCTGAATGCAGCACTAATATTACTGAGCTCAACAAGATGAGGAAAAGAAGCTGGCTTCTGAAAATTCCAGGAAAAATCAAACATTTCACCTGGAAATGTTGTGAGGGAATTCTTCCGGTTAACTTTAATCTGTGGAAGAAAGAGATGGAGTTGGATGTTGTTTGTAAATCTTGTAGTGAAGAACCAGAAACCATAGAACATCGTTTTTTCCATTGTGCCAGAAGATTTCTCCGGTCAAATGGAATGGCCTAAACAAGCAAGCTGATTCTTTCAAATGCTGGTGGTCTTAAATTTGCAATATCAAACATTCACAAATTTCTGAGGACAAGATTCAACTCACGGCTTTCACACTTTGGTGGATTTGGAAAGGGAGGAATCTATGGACTTTCATGAATCTTTGGAGCCTGAATTCAGCTTGGTGAGCCGAGCTGTGGATGACAAGATTTTATTTTGTAGTGCTGCTAGACTTGAGTCGGGTTTTTAATTGTTATGGGTTTGTAGTTTTTGAGGTGGTTGGTATTTGACTTTGTTTCTTGGTTGTTAGTTG